CATGCGTACTCTCTTCCGAGCCAATTGACACACAGAGCCAGACAGACCCAACCCCCACTCCCTCTGCACTAGCTGTGATTAACAGCAGTGGGATTCAATGGCTCCCACTGCTGTTTCTGAGCCAATAAGGAGGGAGAGAGCCAAGAGAGCCGCTGCTCTCATGCACACCGCTGGATCGAGATCAGGCTCTAGTAAGTATAAGGGAGGTCAGGGGGAGCTGCATACAGCAGGTTTTTAACTTAGTACATATAATGCATTAAGGTAAAAAAACTTTCTGCCTTTACAACCACTTTCAGGAGGGCTGGCCAAGTGTGCTTCTTGCACAGCCCATGGGACAAGGTCATGCGACTGTGTGTGTGGCTGAGACTGACAGTTGCTGTCACATAACAACAGAAAAATGAAAAGAATGGATGTTAATGTGACTTTATGTAATCATTTTAAGTTAAAAACTGCTGTCTGTTTTAAAATTCTGGTAAACAACATTATAGCGCACAGTATTTTGTGAGTTAAAATGCACATGGGCGCAGAAGGCCATACAGGGATGGATGAGAGGCCCTGAGTGCACACTGTCCATTTCCAGGACTGCTTATCTATGCCTGTATGGATATAACTGCTCAGATCTGCACAGTCGTGGCATCTGTCAGCCTGTCATTGATTTGTACAGGCTGCTGTCCGTAGGCAAACACTTGTGACTTTTGGACACAGAAATGTACTATTTCTTGATGGTGTATGTTCCTTTGCACCTGTGCACTTGAGTCCTTAGAGATACGAAGGTTGGCAGGTTGGCAAGTCGATGCTGGGTGTGGATAGCAAAATGAGCTGTGATGCCAAAATGGAAATGAAGGTGCTTTTTGCTATAAAAATGTCAAGATGAAATACACCACAGAGCCTGCAGCTTCAAAGATCAGTAAAGGTTTGTTTCAAAGCTTTTTAATGCTTGTTGCAAATGTGTAAACATTCAAATGGCTATAACTTGTCCAAAGTTTTTCTTTAAATTAAATACTGGAATAGAAACTCAAAATATGTGCTCAATAGAGGTACATTATATTTTCTGTTTAAAGAGAACCTCTTAAGTCTCTAAACACATTCAACTTGTAAAAGAAAAGGGATTTTTACTTACCTCTCTGTTGGTCCATGCCTCATACCTCCTATCCATTTCAGCACTTCAGCTTCCACCAGCGTCTTTAGCATTCAACACTTTTGGGAGTTACATGCATGCCCAGCTGCATGCCATGCTTGTTTCCTTCAGCCCCTATGTCACTGTACGGAGGCAGGGACCAGAATATAGAATGTTGGAATGGCTAGAGACACAGACATCCAAAACTCCAAAAAATGTTGAATTGCCAAGACACTCATGGAGGATGCAGTATTGAAGCAGAGGGGAGGTAAATGACATGGACCTCTGGAGAGGTAAGATGGCCCCTTCTTGCAGGAGGGTGGCCTTTTAATATATTTAGAAACCTGAAAGTCTGTTTGAATTAAAAATAAAATTATACACTTATGATTTACTTACTTTAAAATCATCTTTCGATATCCGTTGCTAGATCCTGTATTAAACGTAAAATGTTCTTTGGCATTTCCTTCAACAGATGTGAACTCCATGTCAATGCACTCTTCATTGTGGGAATGCAAAGACATTTTATATTGAATGATAAGTACAAAATTATAACTGGAATAAGCTGACAACACAAAGTTGCAGGTATCTGCAAGTAATTATAGTATCTGTATTGCTGATCAGCACTGCACAGAGTTTCTAATAAGGATCAAAAAGAATTAAGCTATAATTAAACTTGTACCATTGATTTCCATTAATGAGACACCATTGATAAAGCTACTAAATACACTCAGAGGAAGTCTAGTTTAGAAATGGAAATCACATATGAAAGAAATACAGATAGAAAAACTAAATGGATTGATTCTTTTGCCTAATAAATATCGAATTTACTGTACTGATTCCAGAATTGAAACATCGGACAAGTGTCACAAAACGGAGCAGTTTAAAATAAGCTAAATAAAGGTAAATCTTTATAGAGTTTTGTTTTATCTCTTAAAAATATTGATTTAACATAATAAATAAAAGTAGAATATGCTTACAATAATATTTTCTTAAAAAAATACCCACTCTTACTATAAGGCTCCATTATTTTTCAAACAGGAAATTATAAAGGCATTTACGAAATATTTTACACAATCCATCACGGTAACAACCATTTCATTTAATTGCACCTTGTATGTTTCTAGTATTATTCTGCTTATAGGACAGAGTCATAAAAGCGTAAAAGGGATTGATTTACTAAAGGAAAAGTGCATGCCCTTTTCCTTTGGTAAATATGCTCCAAAAGAGCTCAGTAGTAATTTCTTAATAAATTAGTAAACAATTTTATGAGCTTATGTAGAGTAGAAGTAGCTTATGTAGAGTAGAGTAGAGTAGAGTAGAGTAGCCAGAATAATATTTCACAGTAAACTTTGATAGTGCCAGTTTATGTCCTGTTGGTCATTATTTGCAAGTGGATAAAGCTGAATATTGTGTAACATATAGTACATAAATAAATACAGCACTACTGAAAAACTTTTTAAAAATTAAATCCCAATTGTACTTTGCTAACAATATCCAGATACGTTGAGGGTACAGTGAAAAAGTGTTTAGTAAAGGTCTTACTTGTGTATCAAATGATACCTGGAGACAGTAAACTACCACAGCATATATTGCTACTATCAGTATGTAAGCAGAGATCTCTCTGCAGCAGTGTCTGACATGCCCCTGCTCTATCAGAGCTAGAGATTTCCAATCAGCAATCCAGACTCACTGAATATAGAGTGAATAAGCAGTTCTCCAAATAGCCAGAAGCACGGGTTACTGTATCTTCAATGTGTCTGGACTGTTTTGATTTTTTTTTTTGGGGGGGAGGGGGGTTTCCAAAGTACATTTGGGCTTGAATAAAGTGCTAATCACATATAATACTGCATAACAAAAAATATTTTCTGAAATTAACAGAAACAAGGCATTGTGTCAAAATCCAAATGGTCCATCTGAAATGTGAAAAATGGATGCAGGTAAACAGCTGTTTATTTTCCACATTTATTAATTAATTTGGGGTTTTGTCTAGATTACTTCCTAGCTGTTTAAAAGTGCAATGTGCAAAATGCAATGAACTACAACATTTATTTGTGCACTGTATTTTATCTCTTGGAACTCTCATTTTAAGATATCCATGTTGGAAATCCTGGTTCTGCCACAACCTTTACAGTCCCAATTTAAAAATCCAGCTCCTCCCGATACATTCCTAATAATGCAATAATTAACAATGTGCAAACAATGAAAATGATTCAGATAGCCAGATTTGGATCTGCTGCATATTCTATTTTTCTTTTACTTTTTTAATAAATACAATTAAAAAATAACTTGCTACTAGTTCAGAATATCAGACGTAGAGGTTAGTTTCCACATTGCAAGGATGCCACACCCCTACTAAATTAATAACAGTACAAACAGGTGTTTTAAGAAGGGCCCCACTCTCAAACTGTCCCACAAGATGCTGTGAAAATTTGCAGCATGCAAGTAAGTTGCTACTCTTGCTTATCTTAAGTACTGTTGCAGCTTTGAAACAGGAAGCACCCTTTTTAGCCCTCCTACTAAAGCATTGTTAATAGGGAGTGTAAGATACTCTCATATCTCAAAGGTGAAATTTGCTTGAAAAAAATTCTAGTCATCCAATTGGAGATTGTAGTGCCCTTTTTAATATGTATGTGATGCATACAAATTTTAATTAAAATAGAACAGAAGCGGTATGCCCTGGTCCTCCTGATATGGGTTCACTGACCTGTATGCTAGATCTGTTATGCTTGTTTTCTTTTTAAATGTTTTTAACAAAATCTGGATCCATCAAGGATTGAGCTGGAAATCTCCAGTAATGATTGTAGCAGAATGACAGACCTGGTAACTCAAGAGCAAAAATCTAGTGCCCTTGCAACCAACATAAATAACTAATGAGTGATCCAACTTCCTTCAACCTCCTAAGACTGCACTATCAATTTTGGGTGGATTGACCCTTTATTTCAGTTGTACATTAGTGATCTTACATAATTTATTCTTTAATTGTTTTTAAGTAGTGTGGCATTACATTCTAAATTAAAGTGAAATTCAAAGCTACGACTAACTAAGCCTAAAACTGCTCCCACACTCCTTCTAACATCTATACTAACTACCATGTAGAAGGAAGATGTTTATACTTACCTATTCTCAGAGCACTCCGGCCCGGGCACATGATCTCAGACAGTTTCAGCTATATGGGAGAGAAGTGCATGTTGACAACGGATGGAATGCCTACGCATTGACGTCACTCAAAGGCTTACTATGGGGCATCCGTTGTCTGCTGTTCCTCCTCTCTCCTGGAGCCAGCTGCTAGGAGCCAATCACATTACTGGACCAGAGCGCCCTGAGAACAGGTAAGTATAAGCATTTTCCCTTATCAGGGTAGTTAGTATAGTTGTTGGGGGTGGGAGAAGTTTTAGGCTTAGTTAATTCTAGCATTGCATTCCACTTTAAATAAGCTGCACATTTCGTACCATGGCATACTGCCCTACAAATTCTTAATATTACACATCATTAATTTATTTTGTTCTATACTCTCTTTCCAAGTTGTTTAACTTTGCCAAAAAATTTTCACACTTTAATGACTCTGCCCATTGCATGTTGTCGGTATTATACTTATATTTCTGCTGAAAGTCTGCACAACAAACAAAGACACATTCTCAATACAGTATATACTGTATGCACCATCTATGAAAACATTACTAATGGCCTCCTATCAATCAGCTTATTTCCCTGTGAACAGCACAAAAATAAACACTTATACAAAATACATTGGAATGCATTTTTAGAAATCTATTTGAAAGTCACATATCTTTATTAATAATGCTCTGAAATGGTGTCCAATAGTTCCATTGTTCATAGGGTAAGCGTCAAGTAACTTCAAGCCTCACAGCCTCATGTTCACTATTCAGCTTTTTGGCTGCCCATTCTGTGTGATAGGATTTATCTTTTCTAGTGAAACTTCTGCATCGTAATCCAAAATCCCAGAGAATGCTGGAGACATTTTGTCTAAACTTTTCGATAAGCCACTCTCCTCCTCTTTTTTCAGGACTTCCTCTTCAGGACAGATAATCGCATGTGGGATCAAGTAAACTAAATTACACTCATTAGGAATGGAACCTTTGGGCTCTTGCTGGCATGAATAGATCACTGCCCCGTTGTTGTTTATGCTAACTGTTTCTATAGCATTGTTTGATGTAGGGCAGAGCCTGTAGCAGCCTAGCAAGTTTGAGAAAGCCTTGCGGAAATCAGCATTAAAAGCATATATGATGGGATTTAATGAAGAATTTGCCCATCCAAACCATACAAAAATGTCAAATGTGGTGGAGCTAATGCAGAAAGGTTCTGCTCCACGCATATAGACACTGGGGTCACAAAACGGCACCATACAGTTTAATATGAAGAAGGGCAGCCAGCAACATACAAAAACTCCCATGATCACTGACAAAGTCTTCAAAACCTTTGTTTCCCTTTTAAACGAGGTCTTTAAAGAGCTTTCAGGTTGTTGGCAATCAATGCTACTTCCATTGCCAGTGCTGTTTTGGCAGTTCTTGGCATGCACAGCTGCCCTTTCCAGAGCTGAGATGCGTCTTATTTGTTTTGCTGCTATTCTGTATATTCTTGTGTAGGTTACAATCATAATGGCCACGGGTATATAGAAGCTAATAAGAGATGAGGAAATTGCATATGTCCTATTTAAGCTGGAATCACAATTATCCATTGCATTGCCTTGAAATGTAATGTTCAAGTCAAAAAAAACTAGTTGTCTTTGCTTTATGCCAGTTAAGCTGCACAGGAATGAAAGATATTAGGACTGATAAAGTCCAAGCCACACTTATCATGATAAAGGCTACTTTTGGGGTCATTTTTCTTTCATATCTAAAAGGACTTGAGATGGCCCAGTACCTGTCAACGCTGATGACACAAAGGTTCAAGATGGATGCCGTTGAGCACATAATATCAAAAGCTACCCATATATTACAAAATGAACCAAAAGGCCAGAAGCCAGCAATCTCAGCAACAGCTTTCCAAGGCATGACCAGCACCGCCACTAGAAGGTCGGACACTGCTAAAGAGATCACAAAAAAGTTTGTGACTTTTGACCTCAGATGACGAAACCTGATGACAGCTGCACAAACCAATGTGTTTCCCAGAAGGGTTGAGAGTATTAAAACAGAAAGGAAGCATCCTGTTAAGATGCGAAAAGATGAATCCTTTTCTGCAATCAATATTTCTCCATCCATACTGGTTGTATTTAAAGTCATACTGCCTTGTAGAAACACTGTCAGCAGTAGCCTGTATTGCTAGTAAATACAGTTTCCTGTATTGTTCTCTCACGTGCCCATTTTGTCTCCTGGCTTTCTTTTTCCCAAGCAGTTATACAGTCCAAGTGTAAACCATTTGTCAGTTATTAAAAGCCATTTGAGCAAGCTGACATCAATAGGCTGTCATTGCTAAAGTTAATGGTTGGTGTGGCAACAGGACACCAGACTAGATAACTGACATTCTGTTATACTATTGATGGTACGCAATTTCCGCTGCCCAGACTGGGGTAAATAGGTTATCGATCTTGCAGTCTAGCCATCTTCCTGACCAGTTTCATTTATTGATTGCTTTTTTTTTTCCTTTTACTGTCTCGTGTTTTGAATTAACTTTCCAACTTGCAATCACAGGACATCCTTCTATGCAGAAAAGTGCTTTTGTATGGTCAGTTTTTTTGGCTCCTCTTTCTACTTTTGCTACAGAAAGCAATCACTTCTTTGTTTTCACAAGCTGTTGAAGAAAAAAAAAAATCAGAATTTTATTTCTTTAGCAAAATAATGTTACTTTTTTCTTTTCATAAGAATCCTTCCTACACTATTCTGAAGTTCTAATCTTCCATTGCTAGGAAATCCTTAAGTGCTATAATGTAGCTTTTATTGCCATTAAAACAACGTGACAAGAAATGTTATTTCAGTATTCACGTCTTAAGGCTCTATTTGCAAATGCATGAACGTAACAAGAGTGTTAGGACTTTTTTTATACATAAGTGTTTGTGCTGAATCCTGCCATGTGAACTGTTTCCATTTTATTTTAAGAAAAATCTTCTCTGACTGTTCTTTCTTCTACTTTTTTCTTTTGATTTAGTAAATTATTGCATAGCTAATAGGCAAAACATACATGAAAAAGTAGTTTGGTGATATTTAGTAAATTAATAAAAATATTATGCTTGTATTTATGTCTCTTCTAGCAGTTCCGAAGACATGGGTGACCCAGTGAAATTACTTTCTTACTTTACGTAAAGCCCATTTTTTGTTTTTTGTTTTTTTTTTTTTTTTTTCACAAAATGGGAATCGGAGCTTGGTATGAGTTTAACTTCTAGTCAGAGGAATAAAATCCTTCATTTCCCCCAAAAGTCCTCTATAGCCATGAGGGTTTAAGAATCTAGCTACAAGATTCTTACCAGATGGTATAGGGTTCCCTCCCTACTCCACTGTATCTTGCCTCAGATCCCAGATACTTGCTGGCGTTTTGCTGCAGAGGGTGGGACCATGCTCTATATTTTTCTGGTTTTGTCCAGGAATCCAGTTGTTTTGGCGTGGTGTGACCTCAGTCATCAAACAGCTACCTGCGATGGACATGCATGGCAACCCGGCAGCCTGCCTGTTACACTTGATGGAGAGACCTATCAAAAAGTACAAATCCTCCCTGACAATCCAGCTCCTTAATGCTACTAAGGCGTGTAATCTGCTTTGCTGGAGGAGCACTGAATCCCCCCTCGAAGGCTCATTGGTTCACTAGAGTCAATGTTCTCCGGGATGATCAGTGCCCTGATAATCAGTGCCCAACAGTGCCATCCAGTAGTGCCCAGCAGTGCTTCCCACCAGTGCCCAGCAGTGCCATCCACCTGTGCCCATCAGTGTCCAGAAGTGCAACCCACCTGTGCCGAGCAGTGCCACCCACCTGTGCCCAACAGTGCCACCCATCAGTGCTGCCCAGCGGTGCCGCCAGTCAATGCCCAGCAGTGTCACCAGTCAGTTCTGCCTATCAGTGCCCACCAGTGCTGCCTATCAGTGCCCATCAGTGCTGTATGTCAGTGCAGCATCATCAGAGCCGCCTATCAGTGCAGCATCATCATTGCCGCATATCAGTGCCCATCAGTGCTGCCTATCTGTGCCCATTAGTGCTGCCTATCAGTGCAGCCTCATCAATGCACATCAGTGAAGGAGAAAAATTACCTGTTTGCAAAATTTTATAATAGAAACAAAAATAATCCTGGGCAGGAAGGGGGTATAAGTGCCCGGTAGGCCAGTAGTTAAGAGAACATTATTATCATCATTATCATCATCTCTTTATTATGACACATGGACTGTCATAGGAATGACAAACTTTCACAAATCTAAATGGTCCTAAGCATAACTCTATAATAAGGCAACTATTGAAAGACCTAGTTTTTTTTAACCTAATTGGGATTTTCACGCATCTATTTCATTAATATTAGCACATAAAATGCATCCCAGTTAACAAAAGGGTTAGATTAATACAAGCTGGAGAAAAGATAATTGTATTTCTTGCCTGTGGCAATCAATCAAGTTCCAGAAATTATTTTTTAAGTAATGTATCCATTATTTGGTTAAGTTAGTATAGATGACTAATATCCATTTAAAGCGTAGTTCTGGTATTAGTGTTTATATTTGTCATTAAAGACATTTTGTAATCTATCATTATTAAAAATAACTTATTTCAGCAGTCATCCATAACATTTCATACTGTATCTGCCAAAAAAACCCTGAAATTTCAGTGATCTCTATCATAGAAAGCAACTGAAGTCATAGCCAGTATTTCTCAGACCCTTCATCCCCTAAATATGTAGTTGGCATATGCCCTTTCTCACAGACATATGCATGGAGTCTGAAGCCATATTCCATTCAGTCAACTTCATGAAATATAGCATTTAGAAGGGAATATGTAAACTGAAGTTTCTGTTCAGTAAAGCCAAGTCTCCTAAAGGTAAATTAGAACTCCAGACAAATAGCTTAATACATATGAAACATATGTAAATTGTTTTTTTGTCCATTGATCTGTAATTCTGTCGTTGCTTTAGCTTTGCTACACTAAATGGCCTGCCTGGTGACACTACTGTTTACAGGCTGATGATGTTGATTTTGTTTTTTAGGCTGATATATTAAAAGAGTTTGGAATCTTTAGTAAGATTGTAGGAGATGGTTAGAGACTGCAGACATGATACAAGAGATGGTCAGAGACTGCAGACATGATACAGGCGACGGCCAAAGACTGCAGACATACTACAGGAGATGGTCAGAGACTGCAGACATACTACAAGAGATGGGTAGAGACTGCAGACACACTACAGGAGATAGCCAGAGAGTGTGGCTCACAATGGCATGGGAGTCTCCAGCAATCATTGATGGATGGTGCAGGGCAGGGGTCCAGTCTCCCTAATAATCAGGGGCATGGGTGATGCCATACACAGTAGTGGATTAAGGAGAGGGACTGTCTCTGTATCAGGGACCTGGTGTGCTATGACATGCTGTGTACACAGTGGGTGAGTGGTCTCTCAGCATGCAGCCAGTGTTGTCGCACACACACAGGCAGTAGACATGTACATACACTGACAGCTGAATACCCCGCTCCCTCCTGAAGACTCGTTCCTGGTCCCCTCACCTCCCCTGACAGCTGTAGGGACACAGAGCATTCCAAGTGGGCAGGTTAGGGAGAGGGGAAGGTGGAGAAAGTGACTGACAAGGAAGCACACTGTATGCACAATGCTGGTTTACAAAGCTCATCCATCCATGAAACAACTCTACAGATGTGCACTTGTTCCCCGATCTCCCTCTGACAGTACAATGTGTCCCAGCACTCCTCTCTATGCAGAGGCTGGGGGTTCCTCCCACCAGAATAACACTCACTGTGTGATCAGGACATAGCTGGTGCCGGCTGCTCCATGCTGTGAAAGGTGAAGGTGTCCAGAGTAGATAACTCCATGGAGGTGAATTAGCAGAGATTCCAGCTCTGTTCTGTGGGATGCTGGACCCCTACTAACTGCAGGCATTGTCCAAGTGCCTGAATACTGCTGTGTTGCTGCTGCTGTTCATTTAAACATGGCACCACTGACTCACTGAACATGTGCCCAGGCCTGCCAAAAATGTCCGATCCCAGTCGGCTTTGGTACTGCCATATTTTTTACGGACAGCTGACAACCCTTGTGTCACCCCTCTTACAGGTGTCACCCAGGTGCAGTCTGCACCCCCCCCCCCCCCCCCCCCCCAACCCCCATAGTTACACCACTGAGACTTTGTACAGGACTTTGGAGTTTGTCTGCAACAACTTGTGCCCATTCAGCCAAAAGAGCATTTGTGAGGTCAGGTACTGATTCTGGATGACAAGACCTGGCTTGTGGTCAGCATGCCAATTTATCTCAATGTTGTTCAGTAGCGTTGAGGTTAGGGCTCTGTGCAGACCACTTGAGTTCCTCCATACCAAACATGTAAACCAATTTTTTTTTTGGACCTGGCTTTGTGTACAGAAGCACAGTCATGTTGGAAAAGAAAAGGATCTTCTGCAAACGGAAGGTTGGAAACGCACAATTGTTTACAATATCTATCATATGTATTCTGTAGCATTAACAGTACACAACATTGCAAGGCCTGCATTCAATAATATGGGTAGTGTGTCTACATATTTTGGCAACATAGTGTATATTTTTTTATCTCAGCTGCACATTTTGCAATTCCCCTCTGTTATGCATACTTTAGAAAGTATAATTCCAAGGACAGGGTGTCAAGATGAAGCATGTGCTTACTTAGAACTTCCAACAACACAAATTTTGAGAACATCAGCAGCTGGACTGTCATGGCTTTTGCTCAATAGGTACAAATCTGAAGCAAATAGGAATCAGGAATAACCAGCTTTAATATACACTGCTCAAAAAAATTAAAGGAACACTTTGAAAACACATCAGATTTCAATGGGGAAAAATATCCTGCTGGATATCTATACTGATATGGACTGGATAATGTATTACAGAGGACTGAATTCAAAGACACCCCGAAAATCAAAGTGAAAAAATGATGCAGCAGTCTAGTCCATTTTGCTGAAATTTCATTGCAGCAACTCAAAAAACGTCAGGGCATGCTCCTAATGAGACGACGAATGGTGTCCTGGCGCATTTCCTCCCCCTCCAGATCTAGACCAGGGCATCACTGAGCTCCTGGACAGTCTGAGGTGCAACCTAGCAGCATCA